CCTGATACGGGGCTGGGGTTGTGTCTCAATAGTAGAGCACTTGCTTAGCACACATGAGGCACTGAGTTCGATTCTCAGCACCACATAAAAAATTTTAAAGAAAGATATTATGTCCATCTACAACTAAAAATATAGATTAAAATGATACCCTGATAACCTTGGGTTATGCAAATATTATGTTTGTCCTTCAATTTCTATCCACTAATTTTGACATCATAATGTGAAACATGTTGTAACGTATATATCTCCAGCAACCTCTGCTTCCTCCCCAGTAAAGAAGAACTCATATAAAGCCTTTATTGGGTTGGGCTCTTGCTGTGGGAATGAGGTTCTCCTCCTGATGGAGTTTCCTGCATTCCCCACATCCACCTCCATCTTGTGGGACAGGAGACAGTGCTATAGTTTTAAAGGTGTGTCTGAGAAACCTTGTTCTTTGTTTGCTTTTATAGTTCATGAATGTTATATGTTTGGTGTTGCACTGGGGTAAAATGTATGGTAAGGCTTCTCATGTAGTACATATTATTACTTAGTTTATTTGGTCTCTTGATGCATCCCTACCCCTGATCAAAGTAAGAGTGAGTCTTTAAACATGGTAAGACTATGGCATTCCTTCAAACAGAAATTTTGGTGCCTCTCAATCTCATTTGAAGTCAAAGCTAAAGTCCTTATTGTGGTCAGTGGTAGGCTCAGCCTGAGCTGTCCTTCTGTTGACCTCATCTCCTATCCTCTTCTCCTCATTCTCAAGGTTGTCTGGCCTCTTTACTATTCCTTAATATAACACTTGGACATGCACTGTTGCTCCAGGTGGCTACTCTCAGATGACTGCTCAATGGCTTCACCAGACAGCCCTTCCCTGACCATCTTTCTTCTTTTCCTGTTTTCTTGGTTGACATTTTTTCACAGTTAACCTCATTGATGGCTGGGATATATTGTGTTCATCAATGAATCTCGAGTGCATGCAATATAATGTAATATTAGTAAATACTGAATTGACATTACTGGTAAGAAACAAGTTTGGAGAGTCTAAAGCTATTCTCATCAGATTACATGTTTAGTAAATTTAAAGGACAGGAGGAACTCTAACTCCATATAATGTACCATAGTTTAGGACCATTTTATAAGCAGCCTTAGGAAAGGAATATTTCAGTGTACTCTGTAAAACTGCTGACCAAGTTGTAGATAACATTAAAACAGTAGGGATGAAACACACAGTAATTTTTATTTAGTGTTAGTTACATTAACTATAATTTGACTAAATATTTTCTGAAGTCTGGGTTTTGGTTTTCTATCACAGATTAAAACTAATGTGGGCAAAAGTCTTGTGAGAATATAGAAAGAAAATAGATTAGTCATATGGAATTTTATGTTCATTTGCATCCATTAAAGAGAGGATTCAGATTGATTTGAAAAATGAAAGGGACAGAAAAGAGATTGGTGGTTCTTGGAGCCTGTTGTTGGCACTGGGGTTTCTAATTTACTTTCCTTCTGTCGTTTGGTTTTAGTTGAAATTTTATTTTTTATTTTTTAAAATTTATATTAAATTTATTTTTAATTAATACACACAAACTTAAAAGTTATACTAGTTAGTTACCATATGACATTTTAATACTTGTCCACATGTACAATGTTTAAATCAGGTTAAACATGATTTGTTTGCTCAAACATTTATAATGTGTTTGGTTAAAAATATTTAACATTCTATCATTTTGAAATATACAGTTCCAGAGGGGGAATTTTTCTGTTTACTCTTTGCCATTATCACATTTCTAATATATGTGACAACTATACAACAGCAATAAGTATTAGGCTAAACTCTGTGGATTGAACGCTCTACCAAAGCATACGTTTTCTTCTTTGGTAATGAGTCATTAATTTCCAAGATCCCCTACTGGCTCTCCTGAGTTCCTTGTCAGTTCAGGAAGGATCAGGATGTCCATATTGTGAGAGCAGAGGGTGGGGAAGGAACCTTGTGATCCAGAGCCCTCCAGGCTTCCAGGGTTAGGGTTCCGCTCCTGAACAGGCATACTCAGCCTTTATGGCCTTTGCTGGTCTCTCTGGCCTAATTTTATTTCTGTCTCTATCTGAAAGCTAAACTTCAACATGATAAACTACAAGCATTTCCAAACATCTCTTCAAATAATGGGAGGTTACTGACAAAGATTTTTTATATCGATTCTGAAAATGGTGGAGCCATGAAGATATTAAATTTCAGAACTATATGTGATAGTGTAAGTTCATTGATGCAGCTCTAAAAATAGTTCACATTTTGATGCTCTCTCAAAAGTGAGTCTGCAGTGAAAAGTGCCAAAGAATTCCTCCCCAAAGTATCTATCTCTCTTTGGTATTTGGATTATTTTTGATGTAAGGCAGGTAAGAGCTGTAGATGCTGGTAGAACTCTTACCTCTCTTTATCTACAAATATAGTACAAATAACCTTTTCCAAAGGATGCTTACATTATATGAAGGAAGTTTCCATTTCTAAGGTTAACTCTCCAAGTCAGCTCTTCACTCAGGAGAGAATTCCTTGTCTAACAAGATGACCCTTACCAAATCACTGCAAAATTCCTGTGCATACTTACAGGAGAAATTTTTTCTTCTGTTAATCTATCACATTTGTTCTTATTTTTTCCTTGTTTGCTTGTTTATTTTGCCCAGGGCCTGTTAAGCCTGTACTCTAACACTGAACTACACTGCATGCAGCCTAGACTCAGTTTAATTTCCAGGAATTCAGGTGGAGAATTTAAAGGGGAGAGGGAAAAAGAGTTTTCCTATCCTAAAATAGAATTTAAGGAATCCTAAGGGCAACATATTATTTCATAACAAAAATCAAAAGTAGACAGGGAGGATTGCCATCCAGGAGAGTCTTATTCATTCTTGTCTGTTTTCAGTAAAAGTTCATCCCTCTGAGCCCTTGAATTTGACGTCCTTTTTACCAGTACCAAGGGCAACCCCTCTAATCCTAGCATTTATGCCCTGTTTTCCAGTAGTCTGCTAATGAGCCCATACCTCCAGACTTGCTCCCCCTTTCTCCAATATCCTCCACACAGGAACTAGTATGTTATTTTGAACCTTTCCTGATTAAATGATGTCAAGCTTCTCATTGAGCATGCAGAGCTTTCATGATAGAGTCCCTTCCTTTCTATCCAAAATCTTGTCATTTTCTCCATGTTTCAGCAGAGACCCACTCACAAAGTAAAGTGACCTCAGGGGTCTTCAACCACCATATCTTGTGATTCCACAAGAAGGATTTCAAATGAATCACACAGGGTAACAAGAATTTATCAGAAAAAGTGACAATACAGACATTGAGGATAAGCACTGAAGAAACCTACTCTGAGGGAGGATGATATGTAGCCTTTATAGAGTAAGAATTTTCAATGATTTTGGATCCCTTTGTTCTTGTTCTGTTCTCTCATATCCCCTTAAATTATTACCCCTTTGTGGAGCCTTCAGTGAACTCTCTATGTGAGCGTCATGATGACCTAGTCAAAAGGGGTGGCTGCAAAATGGTTTTGGTGCTGACCTGGTGATAAGAGGTAGCTGTGGCATGGTCTTGAAGCGATAGTTCTCTTCAGGCTTATAATTATCTATAGTTTGGGAACAGAGGACCTTCTGGTTTTTATTTTCCAGTCTTTTCTACTATGATAAAGTTGCCTGTGTTTTTAGTCCTATGACTCCTGGATTTTTTCTAATGCATATGTCTAATATTCTTCCGGTTTGTTGGTGTTCTTCATTGCCCTTCACCCGCCCACCTGCTTATGACTGTCTACCTACCTCACATTCCAGAGCCCTTCTAAAATGATGTGGGAGCCTACAGCACCTCAGTGAATGGACTTATTTTCATAATTTAAAATCCAAGTTTTACAGTCTTTTCCTGTTCATTAATATGAAGCAATCATCTAACAGTAACTTGAGTCCTCTAATTCCTTGTAAGAATTGTAATGACTTGGCATTAACATCAATAGATATTTTAAACCATTTTATCCCATCATCCCAGATGTATAACATCTATAAAAACTTAAGTAAGCATGTAACATATAATTATATAATATAGCCAAATAATGATAGTAAGAATATAATCATAATATTTATTAATTTTAGTTACCATAATATTTATATAAGATATAGATTATGATTTCCAACCCATTTTAGTGTACCTATGTTTCAATTTTCAATAAAGTTAAAGTGTGGTTTCATTTGTTAGAATACAACAAGAGCAGAGGAGAGGATAATGTACACAGATCCTCTCCCCCAAAAAGATGTGACAGGGGCCATAAGATTAGAAATTTTTAAAGAGGCCCTAATTTTTCCCCCTCAGTCCCTAGGCATTTCCTGGTAACCAGTTTTTGTTTTATTTTTGGTTTTTAGCTATTTTCTCTATCCCAACATCCTACAGTTAATCATCTCATGCTGAAAACAAAAGCTAAAGTACCTTCGAAGGCCAGACCTGTAGCTAGTGTTACAAGAGTCCTAGGACACAGGGTCTGGCTCCAAAGGTCTAGACAGACCAATGTGGGTCACCCTTTGTAATATGCGAAAAAGCAGAGCAGTTTGAAGGGTAGGAAAGGTATTTTAATCAGTGTGGCCAAGCCAGGACAAATACATATAGTGGTATAGTAACCAAAGCTCTGTCTTAAAGGGATTGCCAGCAACTTGAAGATTTTATAGAAAAGAGGACCAAAGGCAATGTCTTGGTGGGTTTGTATGACTGGGAGAGGGGGTTGAAGAGAGTAAAATCATCCTGATCAGGCCATGATGCAGTTGGCCGTGATCTCAGACTCATTCTGTGAAGCTCTGGGAAGGCCTGTCATTGATTGTAGGGGGTGATTTAGCGTCTATCATGAGATGACTTTTCCTCTTGTGGGGCAGACTTGGTTTTGTTGCAAAATAACTGTTCCCATGTAGTGGGCAGCATCTACATGGGCTGATATGCTCTGTGAATCTCATGACACAGTCCATAAAATTAGAAATTTTTAAAGAGGTTCTTAATATTTTTAGGTGGACTTTCAGGGGAGCAATTTTGGTCCTTTGTGATAAAGATACTTATCAATCAGGCTTTTTGTTCTGGAATCCAAGGTATCTAGTTGAAAAAAAAAAGTGGCTCAGAGAAAAATAGCTAAGGAGGAAGTAGAGTCAAAGAGACACAAATGGAGTTAGGTAAACTCAGGGGAATAAACCTATGGCTTAGAGAATATGTTTTAACTACAGAGTTACACCCTCAGTCTCCTTATTTGTCTTATAAGAAATTAGTCTTGCTATTTTTTCCAAGCTGGCCTCAAACTCATTACCATTGTGCTTTGGCCTTTTGTGTAGCTGGAACTACAGATGTGCATCACTATATTGTTTATCACCTTTAATTCTTAAATTTTATTTTTAAAGATTATTATTCTTTAGTGATTATCTACTTTTAAGTTTATTTTATTAAATATATTCATCAGGTGTTTCAATGTCAATGTTTGATAACTCCAGTCTGGATTACCTATGAGTCTACTTCCATGCTCTCACTTTTGGAATTTTAGGTTTTGTTTTCTGGCATGTCTGGTAATTTTTTATTGATAATTTAAGTTGATGATATACCTTTGAGAGTATATTTAACATTCTTTTTGTAAATTCTGAGCAAAGCACTTTCTTAGAGCAGAGGCTGGTCTATTTTGGTTTGCCTACATTCCCAGGACATCTGGGATCTCAAAACCTAGGTATTTAAGGGCTCCTTATCTTTGCTGGCTCACAACTTTTAATTTTGTCTTCCTGGCTGATAGTCTGCTAAAATGTTTGAAATAACAGCAGTTTCAAGAAGACCTCTCTGAAAGTTTCCTTCTACCTGATGGTCCTATATTGCCTCACACATGTATAGTTTGTGTTTTCAAATGCCTAGTGAAGAAAGAGTGGGTGCTGTGTTTGCTCCAGTGCTTTTTCCTCATTTCCAGGATTTTTGTTCCTCAAGCTCTGGCTGCTTTGACTGCTGGCCCCTGTTGTTTGGTCTACTTTTCTATTGTTCTCAGGAGAATGATTAGTTTGGAGCAGCTAGTCCACCATAAGCTGAGAGAAAGAAGAACTTTCTCTTCATGTATGACTTTGTTTTTTAAAAATGAAAACTAGGTTTATTGCAGTTAACATTTCAAAACTCTTTTACAAGCTCAGCTCACCTTAAGTTCTTACTCTGTTTAAATTAAATTAAAACTGTTTCAGGGTTGTTTCATAAACTGTTTAGTGAAACATTTTAAACATTTATAAAATTAATGTTCAGTATCTGCCTTAAAGCCTTGAGCTGTTTCACTATTGGTTTGATTTACTTAATCATTTTAATACTTAATTTTAAACCTTCTTAAACTTTAATATTCTTGTCCACTAGGAAATTATTAATTTTTCTGTAAACAATTTGGAATGTTTTTTGTTTTAAACAACTTTCTATCACTGTTACAAAATAATTGAGAAAACTAACTTAAAGGGGGAAAAGTTTATTATGGTTCATGGTTTCAGAGATTTCATTTTATGGTCGGCTCACTCCGTTGCTTTCAGGAATATTAAAAGGCATAAACATCACAATGAAAGGGGATGGAGGATGAAAAGTTTTTAGTTCATGGAATCCAGGAAAGAATAGAGAAGGAACTAAGGGCAAGTTGAATCTATCTAGAATTTATCCCTAGTGATCCTCCTTCTCCAATCAGGTCCAATCTCCAAAAGTTTTTACCTCCAATGGCACCATAGACTGATGCTTAAGCCTTTAGCACATGGTTTGTATGTGACATATTCTATCCAAACTGTAATATCTTCTTAGCTGATTAAATGTAATAGCAATTAGAGATATGAAGTCTAGAGCTATAAATTCAGAGAAGTTTCTCCTGTCCCTGACTGTTTAGTAAACCCCTTTGGTAATAATAATATTATAAACTATAAAATATAATAAACAGGTAAATAAACAAATAATGTTATAAACTCTGAAATATGATCAATCAATTAAAAAGGAGATATAAGTATGATCATGTGGGATGTTCCAGAACTTAGGTTGTATTGTTATATGGTTTTTCAAGACAGACAAGACTCTTATCTTTTTCCTGTTTCATGAGTTTTGAGTAATTTTCATATTTTCACTATAAACTTATTAGAAATTCATTTCACATCTAGTTAGAATGCAAGTATTCAAAGTTGTCTTTCTCCAATTATAGATTCTATGGTTGTTCTTATGGTGGTAATATGGCTATTAATTGGAAAGTAATCTACTCATTGCAGTGCAGTTTAAAATGGACTTCTGTTATCTAACTGAGGTCAGTGATACATGCCTGTAAATGCAAATCCTGGTAGTGAGGTTGGGGGGACTTTACAAGTTTAAGTTTAGCCTCAACAACTTAGCAAGATCTGCCTGAAAATTCTTAAAAAGAAATTTTAAAGTGCTGGGCATGTAGTTAAGTGGTAAAGCAACTCTGGGTTCAATCCCCAGTAACAAAAACAAAATAAACATAAAAGTAGTAGTATGTAGTTTTTTGTAGTGCTTATACACTCATTTATCTAGACTATCAACTTACTATTCCTTTTCCCTCTACAGAAAGGCAGAAACTCCAAAGATCTTTCAGCCATTACCAGATTTTTATCCCAGAGTCTCAAAGAAATACTAGTGGCGTCCCTAAGATGGTATGCGTTGACCCAAATTTATTCACCCAAGGGACCCTTTTAAGTATTCATAACATCTGCTATCAGAAGTGAAGAGCAACTTTCTACTTTGCCACCGAGAAACATTTCAGAGAGAAATACTAACAAATATCAAGTAGGTGCATTAACTTTTCAAAATACTACTTCATTAAATGAATTTCATAGGTTTTACCTATCACCAATAAGCTGCCACAAACATTTATGTTCAAGTCTTTGAAAAGATGTATTAATTCATTCTTTCATTTCCTTTGGCTAAACTTGGATTGAAATGATTGGATCATTCAAGTGTAAGTTTAACTTTGAAAGCAACTGGCAAATTGTAAAAACGGTTGTACTATATGTTTAAGCAATTGTTGTGTCAATTAGTTTTTGAAGTAGAAAATAAATGAGTAGAGAAAGGAGAAATTCTATAGAAGCTACTCACTACCATTACTACTTAAAGAACTTTGCAACATAGCAAAACAACTTAGTTACCTCCAGAATATAAGACAACTATCATAATTAACAGCATTATACTCAAACTGTCAGATTTTTTAAATTTTAGAGCATTTGTATCAGTAAAACATATTTAACTAGTGTTACAAACCAAAAAAAGAGAGAGGAGTCTTTAGAACAAATGAAGATTTGAATAAATCCTAACTTCTTGTAGTACCTAATTTTCTTCTAAGCAATTGAAAATATAATAAAATCTGCAGAAAATATAAGATATTGTTTGATAAAATATAAAATCTTTGTTCTTTAAGTCAGTTCGTTTGCAAATTTTGTTAAGAGCAGTTGGATTCCAAGCGTAAATGCCTTTTTAAAGTTGCTTTAAATTCCTCTAGAACTTAAGTTTATTAGATTCGATATCAACATAGCACAAAATCCATTTAACCTTTTAAAAAGAAAGCGAAGTTCCTTGTGATAACAAAAATATTATGTGGGTAGTTTGTTCATAAAATTTAATTTTTGAAAGTACAGTTAGTATTTATGATAAGAATGTAGAAATTCTTATATAGCATTTAGGTTACTGAATGAAGGTATAGACAGACCAATATTTAATTTTTTGAAAATAGTACTAGGATTTGTGGTTAATTAACCACCACAACAAAAACTGTAATTTTTAGCTCATAATATCTTATTATGTCATTCCAGAAACCAGCAGTAGAAAATATGAACAGGTTAACAGACTTTTACACTATTAGTTATTTCTTTGACTTATCTTAGGCCTTGAACAAGCATAAGTATAGGCTCACTCATGAATTTTCAGATCTATTAAACAATTAATATTTTAGACAAACCATGAATGTCATCTATACATGTAAGCATTACATAATTTTGAAAGAAAGCAGAACATTTCTGAGGTGTGGAAAGCTTAAGATTTTAGTTCTGGATTTATGTTCCCTTATAAAAATAAAATTATTTTAAAAGATACAGTTTTAAGAATTCAAAACACCTCTCATTTAATATACTCATTTTAACAACTATATTTAGATTACTCATGGATTGCAAGCACAGTTAATATTTTTGAGTTATTTCTGCACCAAAGAATTCCTAAGAGGTTGTTGTATAGAAAACAATGAACAATATTCCTCAGATATGTAGACATACATTCTAATTGGTTAGCAAGCCATAGACACAAGTTACTAGATTTTAAAGACATTCTTATAAACAAGTTTAATTTAGTTATCACAGATTTACTAAATTCATGTGAAAGGCATTTGTCAATATAAATCAATTTAGTATCTTGCAAACTCGCTATGTATAATCATATAAACATATAGACTTAAATTTAGAATAGTTTTAAAAGCTATATTTTTTACCTGATATTGAAATAAGTCTGTTAGGTCTTAAATTTGCATTTCTAAACTGAGGCCAGGTAGAAAATTTACATCTTAAAAGACAGACTATCAAACTTAAATTGTGAGTTTCCTTTTAAGACACTGGCAGGAAACATCTACAAACCATTCTTCCTTTAGTCCATTTTGAGAACTAGAAGAATTGAAGGGTCAAGATAAGTCCTCTTATACCCTGGACTAGAAAGAAACAGTATCTATCAGTCATGGCACAACTGAAGATGAATATCAAGGTTGTAAGTGTTCTGTACTACCTGGGGTAGTATTTGCCTTGGCTGTGGCTGTTACACATTTCTCTGAAGAAAACAAGAAGATGCAAATTGGTGTGGACAAACTCAGAATTCCTGTCTTCTCAAGGATCTGCTTTGCTGTTTTTTGCTTTGTTTTGTTTAATCTTGCCTGTGACAATCTGTCTGGTGATTGCTATTATAAGCAGTTCATTACTAGTACAAACAAGAGTATATATAACAAATACATTTTGTTGTTCATTTTTTGATGTTCATCAACATCATCAAAATGTCCTGTGGTACCACTGACTTCATTCTATACTTGACCACCATCAGAATCATATCAAGATATCATATCAAGATCAATCATATCAAGATCCTCATTTCTCCTTTAAACTAATGAAAGAACTATTGCTAGCCCCACAGGATTCATTGTCATTAAGAATCCATTTGCTACAGTTTTTAGTAACATTTTATCTGTTAAGAAGAGAATGAAGTCTGGGTCAGTTCTTATACTATATAGCTGGTGGACTTGTTGACTGTGTAGCCCAGTTAATAAGAATAGCTGAAGAGCTCTTACAATCTATTTCACAAGGACAACAATTTCCTTATGAAAAATAAAATGATAGAACAGAGCACACTGGAGCGGATGCATCTCCTTCCAAAGAACCTTCAATACCAGATCTTGCTGTCTCTTTGAATTGTAATCAATACTTTCACTACAAGAAGATAAAGACTTAAGGGCTGGTGTTGTGGCTCAGTGTTAGAGTGCTCACCTAGCATGCACAAGGCACTGGGTTTGATCCTCAGCACCACATAAATTTAAAATGAAAATATTGTGTCACCTAAAACTTAAGAATAAATATTTTTAAAAAAGAAGATGAAGAACTAATCCTTGATATAGAGCAAGCCCTTTTAGACATAGATGGGCTATATGAAGGTGTACTCTCTGATATAAACAATGATTTAAGAAGTAAATAAGACCCAGTTTACCCTCACCAACATGTGAGAACTGATCACTGATTTTTTTTTTCAAATATATCCTGACATATTTGGACATTAGCAATATTTTTCTCGTAGTTCTGCATATTTTTATTATTAAGAACTTACAGAATAAGTTTTGGTTTCCTTCGAGAAAAGACTGATCTCATTTCTTTGTTTTTATTAAAAAATCTCTGACTTTAGCAGTGTCATTCCTTTACTTGCATTTGTTTCTTGAGGATAAGAGCAAATAATAACAAAGAAGAAAATCTCCTCAACTAACAATGGACTGAAGCACATATCAATTATCTCATATCTTGGGACCCAATTTTATTGTTCTATCATTAATGGAAATTAAAAGGGGAACATTCCCTAGGATGGTATTTCAGTGCATTAACAGAACAATAATAAGACATTTGTACTTGATAAGACTCCTTACTGGATTTCTAAGAATGTGTCAAACAAATGATGCCCTATCAGACTACTGGAGATAAATCTGAAAGAGTAGCATCTATCAAAAATCAATACTACAGAAAAGTTTTCAGATGAATTTTATGAGGAAAAAATCGTTGAAAAAGCTGGAGCCAAGAGGTTCCAATGTAGAACTGATTCCCACAAATGCTGATCCATATTGCAGTTACTTTAAAATATCATTCCTAAAATAGAAGTTGCACAATCTACTCATTAACAGACATATATGGAATATTCTATCCATCAATGAGCAAATACATTTTCTTCTCAGCAGCACATGGATCATTCTCCAAAATAGACCACATGTTATGTCACAAAGCAAGTCTTAGCAAATAGAGAAAAAATAGAGGGCTGGGAATGTGGCTCAGTGGTAGTGCACTTGCCTAGCACATGCAAAACCACTCTCAGCACCACATAAAAATAAGTAAACAAAATAAAGGTATTATGTCCAATTACAACTAAAAAATAAATATAAAATATAGAGATAGTACCCTGCATTGTATCTAAACATAATGGAATGAAATTAGAAATCGATGATAAAATTAAAAAGAGAAGCTACTCCAAAACCTAGAGAGGTAAACAATATGCTATTGAATGATACATGGATAACAGGAGACATTAGGGAGATCAAAAAACTTAAGAGGTAAATGAGAAGTCCAACACAACTTATCAAAATTTCTGGGACACAATGAAGGCTGTTCTAAGAGTAAAGTTCATTGCATGGAGTTCATTCCTTAAAAGAAGAAAATGTCAAAAAATAAATGACTTGACATTACATCTCAAAGCCTTAGAAAAGGAAGAACAAACTAACACCCAAAGTAGTAGAAGACAGGAAATAATTAAAATCAGAGCAGAAATCAATGAAATTGAAACTAAAGAAACAATTCAAAAAATTGACAAAACAAAAAGCTTCTTCTTCAAAAACATAAATAAAATTGACAAACTCTTAACCACTGTAACAAAAAGAAGGATGGAGAAAACTCAAATTACAAAAATTTTGCAATGAAAAAGGAAATATCATGACAGATACTATTGAAATACAATAGTGGCAATTAGAAACTATTTTGAAAATTTATATTCCAATAAAATAGGAGAACTTAAAGATTCCAAACAAATTTCTAGAGGCATATGATCAACCCAAGCTGAGTAAAGAAGACATATGCAATTTAAACAGATCAATTTTAAGCAAGGAAATAAAAGATGCCATTTACAAATGTTGTACCAACCAAGAAAAACCCAGGACCAGATGGATTCAGAGCTAAGTTCTACAAGACCTACAAGGAAGAATTAATGCCAATACTCCTTAAATTATTCATTGAAATAGAAAAGGAGGGAACCCTTCCAAACTCATTTATGTAGCTAGTATCATCCTTATGCCAAAACCAGACAGAAACAAATCAAGGAAAGAAAATTTCAGACTAAAATTCCTGATGAACATTGATGCAAAAATTCTCAATAAAATTTTGGCAAATTTCATACAAAAATATATTAATAAAATAGTGCACCATGATCAAGTGGGATTCATTCCAGGGATGCAAGGTTGGTACTACATGCAGAAATCAATAAATATAATTCATCACATCAATAGACTTAAAGATATG